ATACATACATACATACATACATACATATATACATACATACATACATATATACATACATACATATATATATATATAACGATAAGTTGAGAGTAACGTGCATACATGCGATCGATGTGTCAATTGCTGATTATCATACTTAAAAAAAAAAGAAATTCACATCGTCCGATTGCTCGGACATCTAGCAGCTATGCACAAAATCATTTTAATAGTAGGCACGTTGCAAGAGATTCTTAGTAAATTGAACATCAACGACAGCTACGTTTTAAGTAGAACGTATTCCTTTTACAAAGTTCTCAATCTTTCACCGCAGATAACGTAAAAAGCACTTCTTTCTAAGACATAACTCGCATCGATGAAATTGTGTTCTTTTCCTTTACGCTGTTTGCAGCGTTATTTTGTGAGTATTTCCCTTCCATGTGAAAGTTGTCATAAATTTTATTGGTTCGTTCTTTGTACACCAGATGGTGCATCCCTCGCGGATATCTGTTCATTTATTTTCAAATAATGGTGGCAAAAAGTAAAATATGTTACTTGTAAACGTATGAAAATTTTCTTCTTTTCTTATTTTTCTTTTTCTTTTTTTTGACTTTGTTTTTAACTTTAAAAAGAAATGTTGAATTATTAATACTAATTATAGATATGTTTAACCAATCTTTTTTAACGTACAAAAACAACTGAAATGTCCGCGTCATCGTAGTATCGTTTTAAAGAAATGTTTCTTCTTTACAAAAAAAGTCGATGGAATCGCGGCATGGCCTAAATGCGATCAAGCCCGAACTTTTGAAACCAGAAGTGGTGCTCAGCGAGAAAAAACGCAAGTCTTTTATTGAGAAGTTCAAGACTAGTAAAATACCAAAAGTGGATGATAATGCGAATCAAGCGGCTGTGTTAGTGCCATTATGTATGCATAAAGGAGAATTGGGTTTCTTGTATACCTTAAGATCTACCAAGGTAACCTCGAATCGTGGCCAAGTCTCGTTTCCCGGTGGAATGTACGACAAAGAGGACCGTACACTGGAAGAGACTGCATTGCGTGAAACATGGGAGGAGCTTAAAATTCCAAGAGAGAAAATCAACGTTTGGGTCTCCGGTAACATAATCGATAAAAAGAATGTCAAGGTGTTACCTGTTTTCGGCTACATCGGCGATGTCGATCCAGAAAAACTTGAAATAAATGCGGACGAAGTAGAGGAAGCTTTCTTCTTCAGCCTGAAAAATCTCTGCGATCTATCAATGTGTCGTTTCACTCAGTTCCGCAACAATTACACTTTGCCTGTATATATAGGTGGGAAACATCGCGTTTGGGGTTTCACTGCCGCTGTAACACACATGGTTTTAAACGCTCTTATACCTGATGCTTATAAACACAAACTCATTTATATACCGCCAGTCTTGCAAAAAAAGAAGAGATAAGAATATTTGTTAATCTGTACTTCGCTGAATGTTTATGTATACACATATACATAACATGTTATAATTGATATAAAGAATTTTTAAGAAAGTTGTAATTTATTTTTCTAAATACATGTGTGAAATAGATTCTGAAACACGCTTGTAGTTCAGCGTCGCGTATATAGGTGTCACATGGTGACGCTTATCTCCCGTTGTTACTATATGTACGTATTGCAGTCTGCGTATTTACGAGATTTTTTTTTTTGTCACATACGTAATAAGTAAAAATGAAATTGATCTCCACATAAGAAAAGTGTAAAAACATGGCGGTTGTAGTAGAAACTACCATAGGAGATTTTACTGTTGATTTATATACCGAAGAACGGCCACAAAGTAAGTGCGAAACAAGAATAGAGGTTAAGTTTTCTTAATATTGGTTTGAATGAATACACTATTGGTTTGAATGAAAGAAATCTCATCGTTGATAATGTTGTTTATTAACGTGGGTAATATTTTGCAGCATGTCGAAACTTTTTAAAATTGTGCAAATTGAAGTATTACAACTGGAATCTATTCCACTCCGTTCAGAGCAATTTTATTGCTCAAACTGGGGACCCGACTAGTACTGGAAAAGGTGGCGAAAGTGTCTATGGAATAGTATTAGGTGAGAAAGCAAGATACTACGAAGCAGAGCAAATACCAAAAATAAAGCATGATAGAAGTGGCTTATTGTCTATGGTTAATTGTGGCAACAACATGCTTGGATCTCAGTTTTTTATCACTCTTGCACCTGAACTTCAATCATTGGATGGAGAGCATTGCATATTTGGTGAAATTACCGAAGGCCTGGAAATTATTCTCAAGTTTAACGAAACTATCTGTGATGGAGATCATAGACCGTACCAGGACATACGTATCTCTCATACTGTTATTTTGGAAGATCCTTTTGAAGATCCAAAGGGTTTTATCGTGCCTGATCAAAGTCCACCACCCTCTAAAGAAGTCTTAATGGTATAATTCTTTTTCATTTTATGTTAAAGTCCGAAGAAACTTTTCTGTCATATTAAATGCATTTGCAGAGCGATAGAATCGGTGCTGACGAAGTGATAGATGATACAGCTGGTATGACGGCAGAGGAGATTGTAGAAATGCAAAGAGATAAAGAAGCTAAAGCAAGAGCTACAATACTGGAAATCGTGGGTGATATTCCGGATGCAGACATGGCTCCTCCGGAAAATGTCTTATTTGTTTGTAAATTGAATCCTGTTACAACGGACGATGACCTGGAAATTATTTTCAGCAGATTTGGAAAAATTATTGGGTATAAATTTTAGCCGGGTTCAGCAGTTTTGCAGATAGATATCTGTTACATTAAATTTGGTATATCAAATTATTTTTTGTATTCTTTCCTTTCAGTTGTGAAGTCATTAGAGATCGGCAAACCGGAGACTCGTTGCAATATGCTTTTATTGAATTTGCCGATCACAAAAGTTGCGAAGAGGCGTATTTTAAAATGGACAACGTATTGATCGACGATCGTCGTATACACGTTGATTTTTCGCAATCGGTAGCCAAAATGAGATGGAAAGGCAAGGGTAAAGGCATACAATATTTCGATGATAAAGGAAACGAGCTTGGAAATATGGATCAACGGATTAGACATGAAGAGGAAATATTAGAACACAGAAAACACGAGCGTAGGAAGAACGCTGTTAAAGATGATGCCAAATACGTTTATAACGGGGATAGATATGTAGAGAAGGAAAAGTATAAGGCGCAAAGGCATCGTGATGGCGAAAGATATGACTACGATTCCAGACGCAGAAAAGAAAGGAAAAGGAAAAGTAGAGATAGAAGTAAAGATAAAAGCAGAGATAGAAACCGAGAGAAAAGCAAGCGGGAAATTTATAAAGAGCAGAAACAGAAAAAGAGATACGGCAGTGAGAAAAAAAGACGGGATAGGGAATGTTCTAATTCTAATAGCGAGGATTCAAGACACGAGAAATATAAAGAAAGATACTCGAGTCATAAAAAAAAGCGTGCTAAAAATCGATCCGTAGAAAGGTGTGAAAAATCGGAAAAGCACAAGCAAAAAAGGAGATGATGTAAATAGTTTTCACGTGTATCTATAGTACCGCATATTTTATGCAGATAAAGTGCATGCGGTACGAGTATCTATTTTCTAAAATTCAACACTGACACAAACTAGTTTTAAGCATATACACTTTGACTTTTTATGCGAATAAAAATCATTGCTTAATTTGTCCAGCGGCTGATTATTTGAAATGTCTAACTTACATAAAGTATGTTTTGTATTATTTAATAAAGTTTAATTTGAATTATTGGTTATAAAGACAGGTTAATTCTTGTTAATGATTTTGTTTGGCGAGCTAAACAAAAAATATAAAAGATATTACCGACTAAAACGTGACGTGAGATATGAAGAGTATGAGAAATTAAACGCTAGAGGGCGATTATGTTTTGGAAAGATGCGTTTAGTAGAATATAGTGTACCCAGAATAGTTGTGATATTTGTATGGTTTTAAGATTATTTATTAATTATTTATCATGCCGTAAATAAATACAAAAAATTAAAAGTTCCGAAGAGCTGCAATTACACTGGTAAGAGAGTTTCATTTGAAATTTAACTAGATAGAAATTTAGAAAAAAGAAAAAAATGATTTGAGGTTATATGGATCGTACGCGTTGGAAATTGATTATTTTTCTACCGTTGGCTCGTTTTCAATGGTCGGTGTCGTGATCGTATTATAACTCGTCAGGTCTTGCTGTAGCGTAACATAACTTTTATTAACATAATTCTGTACATTGCGTTTGTTATCTCACTTGACCAAGCACGTGTACACACTCTGTACGGCATGACACGCGCTCGTTCAAGCTTGAATTACGAGTTAGAATGCGTTGATTCGATATTATGCAATGATCGTAAACGCGTGTATATTTTCGTACCGTTATTTCCACCATTCTCAGGGACGAATGGTTAAAAAACAGAACCGTCCTGCTATCTATACGACTAATAATAATAAAAAAAAAAATCATTGTTTTCACGAAATTTATTTCAAAGAGTACTCGATTAATTCGACACAACGGAAACAATAAATTGACGAATACACATATGTTCGTACGATTACACGTTTTATTGTTACCATCGTTATATTACATTGCTATCGAAGGCCGTAATATGCTGCAAAATTATTAGTTCATCGCGCGTTGGAAGCGGTGCGCGATATACATACACAACGAAATCATTGTTAAAAACTCGGTTTAGTTTGGAGAGTCCAAGTGTTCTAATTACAGCAGCACACTCATGTAAGAGCTGTTCGATTCGACACAAACAAACGGTATGTACGACGCTTTTGACGTGTAGCTACGTGTAGAATGTATTTAAATTACAAACGATAAAAATGAAATTTGTAGAAAACGGAATATCGACGGTATTTCTAGTCAC